CACACACACACACACACACACACACACACACACACACAACTTCCTTGATTATCCCACAGATGAATCAAACTTGAGTCCTATAACAGAGATGTGTTTTTCCTTAAGGCTCTGGCGACTGCTTGCTGGTCTGTCCTAAAAGCGAAAAGGCGTCTGCTCATGGTGTGTATGAGACTGTTTGAAATGTGGTGCTTTTTATTGCATTCTGTTTTTATTGCATTTTGATTTTGACAGCTGTGTCTCCACTGTCCATAGGTTCCTGATGGTTTTATCTCTCACTTCTATGCCATATCAGAACATGTGAGCCCAGTTTTAGCCTATGGGTTTTTGGGACCCAGGCAGCACCTCAGTGAAGTGTGCACTATCTTCAAGGTGAGAGCATAGTGGACTAAATACATGTCAACTGTTTAAAGGGACAAATGAAATTCATTCTACTCATCATCACCATACAGCGTGGAAAACAATTTTATAATGTCTCCTGTGACTCTGAAATAGTTTAACTTTGTCATCAGTGATATTTCAATTGTGGCTGGAGACATTACACATAACATTACAACAGAATGTCTGTGTTACAAACTGGGAGTCTGGATTTTGAAGGCCGTGGGAGTTTATCTGGCAGGAAAGTTCTAATGAAAGACGATCTTAAGTGGCATTTTGGGAAGTGAAGGGTTTTGGAATGCAACCTACCCAAAGGGCTTAAATTCGGGATGTCTGCAAATAAGAAAATATGCTAACATGCAAACTAAGATTATGAACATTGTAAATATTATACTTGCATTATCAGCATGAGCGTGCTGACAGTAGCATTCAGCTCAAAGCACTGCGGTGTCTAACTACATGGAGCTAGCATTGGTAGTCAGATTTGCATCTTTCTTAGAATATTTTACTTGCGTGACCAGCTTGTCCCGCTCTTACTGTTGATTCCTTAGCTACTTTGGGCAAGCTTACTGCAGCTCAGCCACCCATAGCTAGCTTGTTAGCTTCAACACCAGCATGCAAAGAAGGATAGGTTTGCCCGAGAAGGATCCACTGAGTTGGACCAAACTGTATGATAGCCTTCATGTGTAAAATCAGTCACACTCCTTTAAATTAAATTCACCCTATCATCCATTGATTTTCTTCACTCATCTCCCTCCTCTCTTCTGCAGCAACAAATCGTGCAGTACCTAAAGGATATGTTTGACCATGACAAGGTCCGCTTCACCTCCGCTAACTGCTTGGCCGAGGACATCCTGAGCCTTTCCCACCGCCGCAGCGAGATTTTACTGGGGTATCTGGGGATCGACAGCCTTCAGGAGCTCAACGGTGCCCTGCCCAGGGACACAGAGAGCTCTTAAGGGCCTAACTACAACACTGAGGACTTCATGGGGCTTGTGCAGGCCAAACGCAGTGGGCTCACCAGTACGATACATCACAGAGCCGCAGCTCAGCACTTGATCTGCACTAAGACTGGATTAAATCATACTCCTGTGACAAACTGGGAGCCAGAGTTAATTATTCATTCATCATCAAACATTGACAGAGGATATATTTTCACTAGTATCACTGGTTCTAATGAGGGAAACTGGATCATACGACTCCACCTCTCCCTTGTTATCAGCTGCTGTGCTGCGTAAACGGAGAATGCCTTCATGTAATCTCAGACCTGTGAGGATGTGTCTCTTACTTGTTGGATGACCAGTCTACTTAAAAACACACGAAACGGAAGCATGGGGAACACATGAAAACTTGCCCTTCCACGTTATTCTTTCACATGGAGCGTCTTCAGATAACTAGTGGTTGCACTGTAACCTTCTATATTCGTCTGACGTGTGAAAACACATGGAATATCATCGTCTTCATTGTTACATGAAAAGAAGTCTGTTGACATGTTTGGTTTTATATTAAAGGGGCAAAGGTATTTATATAGGTTAAGTCCATGATAATCCCTGATGGATTTGTGGTGTTTAACAAAGGATGTAATGAATTTATCTCCTCACTGGCGCTACTTTAATTCTCTTTAATTTAAAGAAGTATTTATTCCAGTTTGATTTGGTCAAGCAGGCTAAGATAATACATATCAGAGTGAGTGTAGTAAGTAGTGTTGTGTAATGAAAATGAAATGAGGTCATCCTGAAGCTATATGCAGACACTAGACCATTTCTCCTATAGTCATTTAGCAGTGATCCATCAAGATGCAATTTATACTTCCTCCAAATCATAGTAATCCCACAGACTTTATCTGGCAATGAATCCTATGTATATTGTAAACCTTTTAAGTGGCACAAATGAACTGCAAATAGCTGAAAAATATGTTTAAATACTCTCACAGGATTGGTGTGGATTTGTAAAAAGTACCTTAAATACAGCATTAGTGATGCAATAATTCTTAGAGTTAATTAGTTACTTTCTCTAATACGGTGAGGTTAGCAGCCTTGGCAGAGCCCTCCTGTAGTTTATTAATTGGTTGTGCCATGTGAATCGCTTCCAAATATTTGGGCCTTCCTGCAAAAGTATCCAAACCCAGGTTATATGAACATATACACCTCTGTTCTCAGCGTAAAGTTGAAACAGTAGTACATCCTGAGTATGGTTGTTTTTCAACCATAAAGGTGTATTTGTTATTCATGAGTATATGATGAGTGGATGAGGATAAAAGTTTTTTCACAGCAGACATTAGTCAGCATCATAACAGGAAAAGCACCAGTGTTTGTAACAACATCAACAAGGGCTCTGCTTTATTCAAGTTTCTCAGTAAACCATGACGGCAGTGGTGGGACATGAGTGAGATTTGGGGTTTTGCTGATTAAACTATTGAACAGTGTTTATACAAGTTAGACAAATGTCTTCTGTGAAAAAGGTCAATGCTCATGGCTGTAACAAAGTGAACACAGCGATTCCCATCGAACACTTTTAGAGACTGAAAAATAAAACTCTGCCTCAAGTGTGATATGTTATCAAAAACACAGACATTTTCCTTTTTATCAAATCCTTAAACTGTGTTGTTTGCTGTCTTCCCTTTTAAAAGACATGACCGGTAACAGCACCAGTATGAGTCTAAGGTTGTTTTGTTTCTGATCTCATGAAGACTTTTACTGAAGAAGCGGGCATTGTACAGTCTGACTGTTACCTACTTAAGTGCACTGATCTTGTTTTTCACAATAACTGAGCTTGTCGGAGCACAGAGACTGAAGGGACGCGAAGATGCCAAGTGAAATGGAGCTTTATGCAGATTGACGCTCATTTTTGTTCAAGAAAACTGTCAAAAACTGAATTAATCTTGATGAAATGTGATTCTTCATGACAATGGAAACTCAGTGTCTATGCGGTTGTCTGCAACATTTCTGTCTTGTTCTGCAATTCATAGACAAATGGTTTGTCATACAAATTAAGAGACACAGGCTCTTTGTTATGCATTAATCATTTAAGTGTGTTTTGAGCTCTTGATAATCCAAATGCTCTTGTTGCAATATGCCTCTGAATGTCAGAGCTCATAAGTCTTTATTTTTATTTTTTCCAGAATCAGCATAGAAGGGATTATTTCTCATGATTATTTCTGTTTCAGTCAAACATGAACTTCCAGCTGGAGATGAAGCCTTTCCAGAAAAAGATTTAGTTCTATGTTTCGGTAGATATGCAGCTTTGTGTTTTGAAGCATTTTGCACTTTAT